ACTTGAAATGATTAGAAAAGAAAACTAGACCTCAGACCATTTAAAACTTGTGTTGAATATTTCACTAAATAATACAAACCTGAATCATCTAGCACATGCAGTAGCACAGGCCTGTAATCCCAGAGATATGGGGGCCAAGGCGGGTGGATCACAAGTTCAAGTCAGCCTCACCAATTTAGCAAAACCCTGCCTTAAAAAATAACAGGACTGAGAATGTAGCTCAGAAGCTGGGTTCAATTTCCAGTACCAAATGATTAAATTAAATTAAAAACCTGAATTATCTGCTCAGGAAAAAAAATGCAGTTAAGATCTTTCTAGATTGAAGAATTTTCACTTTATCTTGCCAAATGAAATACCATAAAGACTTGGTGAGTAACAGCAAATAAGTGTTCTATCAAATTAATTAATATTACATGGTTCAATTTTTTAAATTCTTTATCTCCAATTAATAGTCTGTAGTCCAAAGAGATGGTTTTTCTTTGTAGTAAATTAAACTTATATGTAGTAAGCCAGGGATTTGTTGGCTTTTTAAAAATTCTGATGTATCAACATGACAAATATTTTTAAAACTAGCAACTCAACATCATATTATACACTGAGTATATTTTACTTGGTTAACTTGACAGATTTCTTTAATAAGTACTGCGAAAGCATTCTAATACACTGCTAGGTTTCTCCCTCGGTTACTTTGTGTTGAATTCATTTAATGATAATCTTTGTAACCTTAGGTTTGACTATCATAGGGTCAAAAAACAAAAGAAAAAATAAGATGAGAATATATGCCATTCATAACCTTTAGAAGACTCATAAATAACAATTTTTTAAATTAATGAGTGAGATTGTCACCAGTACTGTTGACTTGAAGGGTAGCTATTGGGTTTGAATTTCTATGAGTTTTGTGGAGCTGAAATATATTTGATACAAATGAAAAGAAATTAATTTCCAAACAGGGTCCCAGTAGAGTAGGATTTGCCCACAAAAGAAGCTGAATTTAATGAAAGTTGCTCAAGATTAAGGTTGGAAAGGAAATCTGGAGTCAAGTTACTTCCTCTCAGTATTCTCATTGTGACACTTTACTGACTCATTATTCACTTTGAGTAAGTCACTAGACTTTTTGTGACTTAGATTCCTACATTATGATGTGGGGTTGATTCAGTGCTCCTATCTAATGATCTTAATAGAACTTCAAAGAAAAAAAATCTTCTTATTACAAATAAGTAGATAGTTATCTTCAAACTATCTCTAAAGAGATCAATTTTTTCTGCATACAAATAGAAGATTTTTATAATGGGTTTCATACATGAAGCATTTTGGTCACTGTGCTATGGAAAAATGGTTTTCTGTGTGTAGGAATGCAGTTGTCTACAAAATAATAATGGAAGCAGGGCTCCTTTTGTGGTGTTTCCCTTCTCCTGAGACCTCACCTTCTTACACCTCCCCCTCCTGTGAATAGAGGCCAGGGAGTTGGCACTTGACAGCTCAGAGGTTGCCCATTCCTGTGCTGGAGTAGTGAAAAATTCAGTCTGAAGAAATGAAACATCATTTATTCATATGGGAAATAACTGTTCTTTGGAAATGTTCAGGACTCAGTAATTAACAGGGCTTGTATGACTTTGTATGCGAGCCAATGAGCTAGCAATGCAGCAACAAACGGAGGTGTGAGAATTTCTCTTATATCCAAAGTAGTTAAAATGAGGCAGTAACAGAAGCAAGGCTTTTCTCTCCCCCCCCCCCCAAAAAAAAGGAAAGCAGTAGAACCAAGAGCCTTCTTATGTTTTTAAGATATAGTCGCATGTTTCATGTGTAAGAATGAATGCTCATGTTAAATGAGTTTGTCCCTCATATACCTTCTGCTTCAGGCATGGGCCAGATGGATACGTCCCATTTTTACAATGACTGATGGAGAATTACTACACTCTTTTATTGCTAAAAATGTCTCAGTGTCTCAGCACTTTAGGGCTTATGCATAGATAATGTGATAATACAAAGGCACATGGTAGATGAAAGGGTTTGACTTGTCTTTGAGGTCTGATTTTCAGATTTTCCAGTCAGTAACTTTCTCATTATCACAAATCCTGAAAATCCTGGACCTAATCCACATTTTTAAAATACCTGTTTGTATAGTTTAAAGGCAAAAAACAAAAAGTGATTTGGAACCTTCTTTTCCATTTAATCGATTAAATATTAATTTTTCACCTTCTATTTGCAAAGCAATCTTGTGGTAATAGAAAAGAATATGCAGTTTATGCCTATTTCTAAGAGTTAATAATCGACTGAGGAAGAAAAGTATTAATAGGATATTAATAAATACCAAATAAATTATACAGGAGGGACTCTTCTAGCCATGATGCTCAGAGGAAACTTTAGAGAAGAAAATGGTACTCATATGAACCTTGCAGAATGGAAAAACTTAAGTAGCAGTGGAGAAAGGGGCATTTCATTGACTGGGGGATCATAGAGGCAGGGTCTGGTATGGCATACTCAAGGGACAGTAGTAAAATATAGCATAGTGTTTAAGAATACAGACTAGGAAGCCAGATTACCCAGTAACAAGATTGCCTTTTCTTGCTATATGACTTTGGGCAGGTTTCTTAACCTCTCTTTACTCAGATTCCTCATAAGCTAAAAAAGTGGTACTAATCATACTGAAATTACAGGACTTTTGGAAAAAAACATGAGAATAGTACCTTTAAATAGTATTTGCACAAGTTTATCATTAAACAAATGTAATTTAGTATGATGGTGATGGAAATGATATCTAGAGAAGAATAAAAAACAGTTATTAGGAAGATTGGAGTAGGCTCAGTGAGTGATGGGCTGCATACAGTTTGCAGGGAGGAGTCACAGTTTTATGAGCAAGACAATATGATCAGAGTAGTGTTTTTGAAAAAAAAAATGTAGCATAACAGGTTGAAGAAGAGACTGGCAGCAGATATAATGATTAGAAGACCTGTAATAATCCTGACTTAAGGAATTGAAGACCAGAACTCAAATGATAGAACATGGGTTTGAATTAGAAATGAGGGACCAGCTTGAGAACATGTTCTTTGAAACAGTTGCTAGGGCCTAGGGATGAAGCATCTGGGAAATTGGAAGCAGAGTCCTGTGCCTGCTTATGTGGTATTATATGCAGGAATAGGAAAGTCCATTTACTGTCTTAAATTTAAAGACAATAACTGGGTTTGGCATTGGAAATATAAGCCTGGATTAGAAACTAAAGAGCCAGAGATGGGAGTTGCATTGTGAGAGTAAATGAGAAGGAGGAAGCTGTACTAAGTGAATATTGCAGTAATTCTCTTTTCCAGTTCTGTGAGAGAAAGTGAGAGCCTAAGATAATGGAAACATGTTCCTGGTCTAGCAGACTTCACTATAATTTATTTGGTATTTATTAATATCCTATTAATACTTTTCCTTTCTCAGTCGAGATCCTTGTCCTATAAAGTGCCATTTTACAGATGGAGTCTCAGGCCTAGCACCAAAGATGTGCTAAGTGTTCACAAATGCTGGGCTTCTGCATCTGTAATTGCACATCATAGCGAAACAGGCTTTATTCTTGTGAGAGAGGGGTGTCCATACAATTATTTTAATTAATCTTACCCCATTCCAACCACACTTTAATATAGATACTGTCAACTTGTGTTGGTATATATGTAAATATGTCCATCTATAAACACACATTCTGTTGTTCATTTGAAATGATTTTCATGTATTTTGTTGTTTATTTAAAACGATTTAGAATGTATCTTTTCGCTTCCATCATATTTTAGTGGCCTGTGGGTAAGAGGAAGGCCTTCTGCCGGTTTCACTCACTTCCAGTTTTCACATTTGTTCACTTATGTGTCAATCCCAGTTCATTCATTCATTTATTCATTTCAAACACTCTTGCAACTGCAAGAGTGATAAATAAGACAGTTCTTGGGAGCAAATTATCTAATTGGAGAAAAAGAGACACACACATATGCAGTAGAAGCAATAATAAAGACATTCACAGAAAATTATGGGAACATCAGAGAGAAACATTGGATCTAGAATGTGTAGAAAGGGCCATGTGCAGAGGTGGTTCAGGGAGGGTTTCTCAGAAGCTGACTTCTGGACTCAATCTTAAATAATAGGCAGTGGTTACTTTGCAAATAGGAAGGAGGGTAGAAAAATGACATTTTTAAGAGCAAACCTAGCCTGTGTGTAGATAGCACCATTCACAAGAAAAAGTGAGGCAGTTTAGTGTTGAAGCATTAAGTGAGAGGCAGCATAGGGGAATGATGAGGTTGTAGAGTAGGAGGGATTTGCATAGGGTGCTTAGAGGCCTGAACTCACTGGCCATGAACAGGAGGTCTTGAAAGGCTCTGCACAGAGTTGTGGTTGATTAAGATTTCAGTCTTAAGTGGCAGTTAGAAGGGTGAATTTTGGCAGATAATACAGAAGATACTGAGAACCTGAACCAGGACACTGTTGCAGAAATGGAGAAGAGGGAGCAAAATCAAGAATTGTGTGTGGTATACAATCAATCAGCAGGACCTGTTCTCACCAAACATGAGGAGGGGAAGGAACAAAGATGATTCTAGGTAGCCACCTTATATGCTTGGGTAACTGGTTGCATAATCTACTTAGCACAGATTGCAAGAGGGAATATAGTTTGTTTTTATCTTCAATACATTGAGGTTTTTAATGTGCCAATGATACATTTGGAATGAAGTCTAGTTAGTGGTTAGTAGAAATTTCTAGATAACTAGAAATATATTACCTTTGTTATTGACCTAGCCATAGCTCCTCTTGGAAGCAGAGCAAGCATCCAATGCATACATTTGTCATAACTCTTCTACTGTGTTATAATTATTTTCTTCTTTTATACTTGTCTGTATAACCAAAGCCCAGTATTTGGGTCATAACTTTACCACAAATATAAGACTGAGTAAAAGATAATTTTAAAGATTATTTGCTTCTTAGGAGAAGTTTTTATTTGACTAATTCTCATTCTGATTTATCTGTGTTTTAACTCCCAGCACCTTCCATTGGAAGAATCTCAAACAGTGGGACTCCCTCAGGAGCAGGAGCACCAGCCAACTCCACTGTGGGGCAGCCCCAGCCAAGTGACCAGGATACTTTAGTGCAGAGAGCTGAGCACATTCCTGCTGGGAAAAGAACTCCAATGTGTGCCCACTGTAATCAGGTCATCAGGTTGGTTATTTATTTTTGAAATTTTCTCCAAAGTCCTTGATGACAATGTTGTTGTTGTTTTAAAATATTCTATAATATTTGCAATTTTATTAGTAAAAATATTCTTGCCATAATTCTGTATAATAGTGTTGAAATAAATAAATGTAAATATATATTTTAATTAAACCTATTTTAATGAGAAGTAATTCTGGGCCTGGTAAAAATAAAACTAAAAATACCAATTGTTTCAGTTATTAATTCCTATCAGAACTAAGGAAAGATAGTGATTAATTTGGCCCTTCAGAGAATAATAAAATTTTAAGACTTAAAGGTACCCTGAAATCATTTATCTTAACTTTGTGTTTTACAGATTATAAAAGTAAGAACTTTCATTTAGATGAAAAATAAGTAGCAGTATAAAGAACTTTAAGCCCTAGAGAAAAGATTGGATTTTCAAATACCTAAGCATTGAAAGATAGATTTGTTCATAAATGCCCTAAATGTTAGGTTAGGTCATAACCTGCTTCTTTAAAATATTTTTTGCTCAAACCTATTTTACTGTTTCTTAAACTGCCAAGAAGGGAAAAATGTACAGATATCTTAAGTGAGTGTACTATTCTGGAACTTTTAAAATCTCTTAGCATTTTTAATAGGTGGCTTTTAAAATTTTATGAGGTGTAGGTCTAAGGGCCAATTTGCAAATATCTCATCTAAAGGAACTTGTTTCCTCTTTGTGAGTTGCCTTGTTGACAATAACAAATAATTGTTTGAAATTATTGCTCATTCTCTGTTCTTTTCTAAATCATCCTGTTTTGAAACTGTTGAAACAACGGCTTCCCTGAATGAAGTTAAGACTTTCTTAAAACATAATCCCCTCCTCTAGTACAAAAAAATTACTTGGCATAATATTAAAATGGAACCCAAGCCTCAGTACTTGAATAATTCTTTTCCTTAACCAACTATTAATTAAACAATGTTACAAGAATATAACACACTACAAAATTAAAAATAAAATAGCATTTTTTAAGTAGTCAGTGTTGGTAGTGATGTTTTAAAAATACAGGAAAGCAGACACCAAAAATCAAATTCACATATAATCCTGTCTCCCAAGATAACCATTATCAATATTTTAGTACAGACTTTTAAAACATAGTCAGATATCACTTTACAGAAATAGGATCATAATATGGTATTTTGTAAATTGTTACTTTTCACTTAAGTCGTATTATTCAGAGTTAATTCTGCTTCATAAGAATTAACCAGTTAGTAGTAATAGTAGTGATAGTGGTTATGAGGAGAAGGGACAAATCAGTACAAGTTTCCAGAGTCTAGCACAGTGTCCACATACAGAAAACACTCAGTGGCTTAACTGCACAGACTAGATAGGACTCTAGGCCAATTCCTACTTCAGTGAATTTGGTTAGAGTGTCAATTTGGTTACTCATTTTCTTAAAAAGTCTTCAACAGAGTTCTTGTCTTACAGGAAAAAAATAATATAAAATCTAATATGGTGCTGTTCTATCCCAATAAAAGAAACAATGTAATGTTTTTAAGTATTACCATTTGTTATATATTTGGTTTAATATTAACAAAATATAAAGGTAAATGCTGACTTATTACATAGTTACAAGTTTTTTAGTACTTTGGCTACCTGGACTGGTGTTTAGAGATACTACATTTTTTTTTTTTAATTAGTTGCTCAAGACAATTCAATGATTTTGACAGATCATATATTTTATTCAAATGGGGTATGAATTCTTTTTTTTTTTTTTTAAAGCCTCTATGGAAACAGAAATCAGTGCTGTTATTTATGTGCTATTGTAAACAAGTACTAGATGAGATAACAAAATGTTAAACGATATCAGTTGCTGATTCATGTTGTCTGATTATTAAATTCTGTAACATTCTACAATCCCTACTACTAGTACTTTTGAAAACTTACTTAATAGGGAGAAAGTGTGAAGATAAAAGTAGAAATTGCATTCGTCACCCCTACCTGCCTTTTTTTCAAATGGAGTGCCAGGCCAGGTTGCAGTTTTAATGCAGACATTCTATCATATGAACTAAATATATGGCCATCGCTTATTGCTCCTTCATCTACTAAATTTTATATTCTGTATTGTCCAGCACTTGTTATCACTTAAGCATTAAAGCTTCATTTACTGAGGAAGTTAATAGGATTGGGGATTAGTTCATGTCAAGATCATGTAACAATAATTAACATAACACATTTGCCTGGTGCTCAAGTACTAAAGCAGCTTGAATAGACTGTGGTCAGTTCAGAGACCTGGTCAAACCATAATTCTAGTTCCCAGCTTCAGTGTCAATATTACTTACCAAAGCAAAGAGGCATTAGATCAAGTGACATTCTCTTGGACACCTGTTTTTAAAATGAGCTGCAGTTGCAAGTTTAATATTTCAACACAGAATATTATACCCTAGCAAAATCACTGAGAAGCAAACGGTTTTAGAATTTGTATTGTTAGTTTTCCACCATATAATTTATATTTGTTTATAATCCATATTGTTTTGTTTTATATTTACTTTTTTAATATTTCTAATTTTCAAAAACATTTTTTATGTAAGGCAAACTAAGAAAAATTTTGTGTTTCATTACATTTGTTTTTTTGTTGTTGTTGTTTGTTTTGTTTTGTTTTTTAAGATAGTTGATAGTTCTGGGGAGATGCTTAAAACCAGAATGTTAATACTGAACTAGTTATCTTTGTAGAACATATTCAGTTTAAAATTCCTTAGATAATCTTATTTGGATCTAATGTTTAAATGTTTTTGACTTAATTGAATTTTGAAAAGTTTATGGATGTTTTACTTAAGCTACATTATGGAGACATTATCTTGACTAGTTGCAAATGGATAGGGAGTTTTATTTTAGAAACTTTTACTGAAGCTTTAAGTTTGCTGTGGAATATTTCCAATCCAATTACGATAGAAGTCCCATTTCTTCAATTCTTATGCTTGTGAATAGATTGACTGTTAGAGGGCTGGTGTAATTGGGAGCAAAGGAAATCAGACTAATATATACAAAACCAGGTTTTAGTTTTCCCCGGGGAATGGGCTTATGAACATTCTAGCTTATTTCTTGAGTGTTACTTCTAGTGGCATTAAATCTGTTGGCCATTTGTATTACATTGAGTTAACTGAACCATTTATGTTTAGCTTCTTAACATCTTTGTGAAAGAAGTGAAGAATTTATAGTGCTTGAATTTGTTCCTTGATATGGAATGCTTTAAGAAATAGCCATATTGCTATGGCTCTTGTCTTTGTCTGCAGTGCAGCCCTGAAACAATCAAATTCAGGCAACCTGTTCTTTATCCCAGGGAGAGAAAGAATTTTAACATTGATGGATTTTTTTTTTTTTGGGGGGGGGGGCTCAGTGATGTTCAAACTTTTCTCATAGGAGAGCCATCTCAGGTTACCCTAAAGAGAAGCAAGCAGAGCCCTTTGCCCATTTCATCATCCCTTTAAACCTCTAAGCACACCCTTATTTATGGCTCTTAATTATTGTCCCTTCTGGTTAAGGTTTTATTTAAAAATGTTTCCTGGCTTAACATGTTAGCCCCTGAATTTAAAGAAATAACTGAAGACACCAAGATTTCTGAGCAAGACATATACCAAGACTTTAGTATTTACTATAATGAAACATTGGAAGGAACATAAATATTTTACATCTCTGATAAAATATTGTGCTATCAATAAGATCACTGTATTCTTAGAATATTCCAAATGTTGTGTTAAGAATTTTATTAAATTTTCATATCAATATAGTGAAACAGTTGCTATTTTTATCCCATTTCACAGATGAAAAATTTAAGGCGTGGAGAAGTTACATGTTTGCCCAAAGTTGGACAGAGAGTAACTGGTAGTACTTGAATTTAAGTGTTGATCTCACTTTCGTTTTTCTTCATGTTTTAAACTACCACAACATAAAAAAAATTATAATATTAAGATGGTAAAATATAAGAATTTTTTTAATTTTTAAGATATTTTTAAATAATATAAGAATTTTTTAAAAAATCTTTTTTAGTTGTCAGTGGACCTTTTTAAAAATATATTTATATGTGGGGCTGGGATTGTGGCTCAACGGTAGAGCGCTCGCCTAGCACAGGCGGGACCCAGGTTCGATCCTCAGCACCACATAAAAAAAAAAATGCATTGTGTTGTGTCCATCTACACCTAATAAATAAATAAATAAATAAATAAAATATTTATATGTGGTACTGAGAATTGAACCCAGTGCCTCACATAAAAGCGCTTTACCACTGAGCCATAATCCCAGCCCACGATGCTAAAATATAGACTTTTAAAGTGTGATTCCACCCTTGTATAAAGAAAATACATACCAAGGTACATATTTAAGCATGATAATAAAAACAGCTACTCTTCATTGAATATGATTGGTGTCATGACAAGAATTTTTTTTTTCTTTTTTTGGTACTGGGGATTGAACTCAGGGACTCTTGACCACTGAACCCCAACTTCAGCCCTATTTTATATTTTATTTAGAGACAGGGTCTCAGTGAGTTGCTTACTGCTTTGCTTTTGCTGAGGCTGGCTTTGAACTCATGATCCTTCTGCCTCAGTCTCCTGAGCCACTGGGATTACAGGCCTGTGCCACTAGGCTCAGCTCATGACAAGAATTTGATCACTGTTACCTACTGGATCTTCAAATAATTCTATGAGGTTTATATTATTCTCATAAGTACTTTGTAGATGGGAAAACTGAGGTTTAGATTGATTTGGTCATAGTCACAAAGTTGATTAGTGATGCAGCCAGGACTAACACCAGTCTCTTTAATCATATAATACATTAATTAATTTATTCAACATTTAGTGTCCTACTAGTTGTAGGCATTGTTTTATCCCTTTATAATATAATATAAACAACACACACAGTCCTACTGCTTTAGAAAAAAACAAAAGGAATTATGCCTAAAAGTTATCCCTGTTTGACTTGATGTGATTTGTTTCCTTCTACATGGCATTTTGAACTTTCTAAGTTATTG